TCGGGAGTGTGCGCGCACCCACACCGTGCCCTTGAGCACTGTAACACAGACGCCCTGCGCCCCTTCCAGCCATGAAGGGAAGGACCCCCTCCCTGCCCGGTCCCCTCTCAAGCAGCTGCACGGTTGGGACACAAAGGAAGTGGGGACCTGGAGGACCCAGCCAGGGAGGGAAGGGGCCAAGGGCTCTCCTCACGGTACTCACTGGATCTCTTTGGTCTCCATGGCGAAGGCCCGCACTGTCCGGACATTGCCCAGGGCTTCATCTGCCACGGCCGTGGCCTTGGCCACCTGCGCTCAAGAAAGGAATGGCTCAAGTGGCGTGGGAGCCCCAGGCTCAGCTGACCCACAGAGCCAGTTCCATCCGAAGGCAGAGGGAAGGAGACAGCCGACGGGGCGATGGGCTCAGAAGGAAAGACGCTGAGAATGGAGAAGCCGGCCGATGCTCTCTCCCTGGGCGACTGTTTCCGGCCCATGGGTTTCCCTACTCATGTCATGCCATTCAGGGTTCCCGGAGGAGGGACAGGATACGACACAATGGAACTGATGAACAGACAGCGTTACCCGTCTGAATGCAAGAGAAGGAGTTAAGTGGCAGAGATGGCTACTATCTGCAGGAGAACTCCGAGAAGCTAACAGGAGGAACTGAAGGATGTATCTGTAGGCCTGGAATGACTTACAGCTTCCCATGCTCCCGCCCCCAAGGGTAGCGTTGGGCACAGACACCCTTGTGTCTCCATCCGCTTCACGGACCCGGATTGCAGAACTCACAGGGCAGACCGCACTTACTTGCTCTTGGGCTTTGCGGGAAAGCTTGCGCAGGGAGGCTCCGAGAAAGGTCCCGATCCCCACCAGGAAAGGCATCACCACCACCAGCAGCCCCGTCAGCTTGGGAGAAATCATGTAGAGAGACACAAAGCAGCCTGCAGTTTGAGTGAGACTGCGTAGGCCCTGGGGGGAAGAAGCAGCAAGGAGCACATCGTTAAAAGGAAGGAAAGGAGGGAGGTAGGTAGGGAGGGAGGGAGGAGAAATGCCTCCCCTCACATCAGCTGGACAGCATAACCCCTGAAACCATTTCAGACATCATTCAAGCAGTCTCCCTCCAGCAAACCC